AGACAGAGGGTGAAAATGAAAGATAACAAGCTTTTTGAACATTAAAGCATGTCACAGGAGAGACACTAAATACTAATATGAACCTGAAAATGAGCAGAATGGCCCCTTTAAAGATATCCTTGGCTTGGTTGAAGTCGGTTAATAGTCCCTTGCTGAATCTGCTGCAGGTGCTTGATCTCAGGGATTGTAAACCTGCCCAGAAACTTTCCATTCCCTGATATCTGAAACCTTGTGTGGCTTTTTTGGGGTATTTTCACTATCTTCCTCAAACTGTGACACTTTTGGGGTTTGCTCCAGACTGTTTTGTGGTTCTTCATTTGGAGTCCCTCCTTAATCTTGTTTATTTATTTTTGTAAAGTTGCCCCCCTATCATTCAGCTCTTTAGTGCATCTCCACATTTCCAACAACTGTAATAAACTGTGGTTTGTCTTCCCAGGAGTAGCAGGGCTTTAACGTGGTTGTTTGAAATGCACAGTTACTGTAAGTGCTCTCGGTCAGCTGTTGTTGTTGCAAATGCAGTTTGATTTGTGTTTGTTGTTGCAGTCCTTGTTGCGATGTAAAACCACATTGGAGGACAAATCCGGATTGACAGCACTGCTAGCTTCCCCTGAAAGTACCTGGCATCTTAAATCAGTTTCACCTCCTCAAAAAACACAGAGTAAATCACAGTTAAGCAAAACCAATGACAACATTTGTTAGGTTCCTGCAGTGGTAAAAGACACGAGATGGCTGAATTGTTGTTCTGCCTGCTACGTTTTGTGTCTGCACTGCAAAATAAAAAATGCCTCATGGACTCGTTATGCAAACGCAGTTTTTACAACTCTGAACAGATATTGCTTCAGCAGCTGGAACACAGCAAGCTTGGAAAATGTGCACAACTGTTACAATGTCATATGATTACAAAGGGAAATTGTAAAGACACACACACACACACACACACACACACACACACACACACACACACACACACACACACACACACACACACACACACACACACACACACACACACACACACACACACACACACACACACACACACACACACACACACACAACACATTCAGATTATAAGCTTAATGGATGACACACTCATGATACACACTATGGAAGACTAATGCTGACATTCTAATAAAAACATATGATAAAGATGTAGAAATAAAGTCCTCAATTACCAAATATAAAGGCCAGATGAATACAGCTGGTTGATAAATACAATCTGCTCAGAGAAAAAGGCAAATCATAAAGTTATTTTTTTTTATTTGACAAATCGCCTTTTTTGTCATATTCTTTTTATTCCAAATGTATTCTTTATTTTGTAACTATTACCCTAATTATTGATTCCATTATTCATTCGTATCCTTATCTATTTATTGCTCCTTTTTTATTTGTGTTTCTTCATCCATATATTAATGAGGGGGCGTTCCTTGATTGCGCTACTTAAAGGTCGCTTAACACTTTCTTTTCACATTAGCTTGCATTACATTTCTGCTTTTTGTATGCTCTTAGTTTACTGGCACATTAGAAGAAAAAGTCAATCGTGTATTGTATGATTTTAAATGATATCTTTTAATGAACTAGCAGCTCTCTGCAGAGGCACAGCTAGAGCAGCTTCAGTATGATCTCTGCTGACAGAGTGGCCGTTTCCGCTGCAATCACACTCACACACACATACAAGTGTGTGCACACATCAAAAGCTACACACAAAGACAATCACACTCCCATGCCAAGACAATGGCCTGCTAATCCTTGTTTGTGATTGGACGAATCCAGATTACCCAGAGGGCACCAGCTGTCAGGGAGAGGCAAAGCCCAGTTTCCTCAGTATCACACACACACACACACACACACACACACACACACACACACACACACACACACACACACACACACACACACACACACACACACACACACACACACACACACACACACACACACACACACACACACACACACAACAACGTTAGCATGTTGCTACTTCTGAAATCTCATAGTAATATGTAGTTGTGTTACATTATGTTGTGTTTTATTTTGTGTGACCTCACGGTGAAGCTTTCAGCTGCCGTCAACAGGAGCTGTTTGTTACTGCTGTCAACACACTGTAAAAATAGGAATGTGAATTAATACGACTGTAATGCTAACAGGCGCAACCAAGGTCCAGCTTAGCCAAATGTTGGAGATACCACAGTGTGCTGTGTGTGTTTTATTCTTAGTCGCTGTTGTTTGGACCCTTCCACCAACTCATTGTCTGCAGGCTGTGCAACAATCCTCCACAGTTTTGTTATTAGAAGTCACAAAAGTATCCTCAATTCAGCCATTGAAAGGCACTTTTTCACTATGGCTCAAACCTGTATCTCTGAAAGTATTTTCCTTCATTTGTTTGTAAAATATCAAATTTTAGGATTTTTGATCCAAGTAAAAAAGAATGAAGTCAAATATCCTACTAGCTCATACTACGGCAATAGGAGTTTTTTTGCATTTTATCTTGTAATATTTAACATGTTTCATGGACTTTTGAGTCTTCTAAGCCTTCTGGATTTGATTAACTTCCGACCCCAAAATCACAGCTTTTATCCCTCATTTCCCCCGTGTGCAACCTCAGAGGGCTGAGCCGGGCCAAACCGAGCCGGGCCAACAATGCAGGCGGAGGGAGGAGACAGGAAGCTAACTGACACACTGCGGAGCCATGATAAGAGCAGATCCACTAAATACTGGAGTCCAGGGAGAGAGGGGAACAGGGAGAGGAAGAGGAGGAAGTGAAAGGGAGAGGAAGTGAGTTAGAGAGGGAGGAAGAGAATAAATGTTGAAAGGGTGAGGGAAAGAGACATAGCCAGAGAGAGATTTACTTTCAGTGTGTTGTTGAGAGGCTTTGCGTTGGCCTAGTTTCTGTTCTGTGTGTGTGTGTGTGTGCGCGCGTGTGTGTGTGTGTGTGTGTGTGTGTGTGTGTGTGCGTGTGCGTGCGCGTGCGCGTGTGCGTGTGTGTGTGCGTGTGTGTGCGTGTGTGTGTGTGTGTGTGTGTATATTTCTAGACACAGTGAAGTCATAAAGCATTATGGCAGGTCTGTCATTGTTCTGGCTCTGGAACACTTACCTCTCAGTGTGGATTTCCAGCTGTTAGCGACCACACTTGTGGTTTGGCGTATTATAGCGTTTTTACTACGAGTCATATTTACTTAAGATCATGGCTAATGATTTTGCAAACTGTTATGTTTTAGGATTGTGACTGTTTTGTATCATTCCCCACTAAATTGTAATTCATCATGTAAAGTGAGTGAACTCTTTGAGCTTGCTGGAGTTGTAAAAACCACAAAAAAACAAAAGAGTGTTACAAAACGATGACGTAACTTTGACCAAACTTAATACAAACCTGATGTTCACAGTGACGGATTTCACAAGTGAGACAAGTTTGAAGAGTGTCTTCATTGGTTTTCATATTGTAGGAGAATGAACTACTTCCTGGAACTCATGGAAAAATGCATAAACATTTTAATATTGGAAATTACCCATTAGTTTTGGTCACCAAAGACGTTGAGGTTTTGTAAAGGAAAGTCCATGAATCATCTGTTGGATGAAAACGTCTTCAGACTGAATCCCATCAACGTTTTCAGTGTCAGACACAACAACAGAAAGTGTCATTGAGCTGCTGTAGACTGTTTATTACTGTCTGTTTACTTCCTAATCTCCATCGCTCAGTTTCCCATGTAGTAAACACTGGGTGTCTGGTCACACTTTCCTGGGTGAAATGAGAAACATGTGAAATAGGAAACGCAAACAGTTTCTCTTTCTTTGCTGTGTTTTCTCCACTTTCTGCAGCTGTGGAGTGTAAACTCTACAGCCCTTGGATTTGTGGGAAATGATTTAGCCAGTTTGTTCCAAGCTGATATAAATCTCAAATATACAGTTGTAAATGCTAAGACGCTTGCTTGGAAAATCATAATTGAATTTGCATGTGACCAGGAAATGCATTTCCTGATTGGACGATGTCCTAGAAAGACATGATGTCACATTTAAGGTCAACAACCAGTTTTTCATTTAATCTGATTACTTTTTACAAATAGCTCTGACTCTGTTTTTCCTCAACACTCTTTCATTACAAGTTTGGTATTTACTATGCTGCTATAAATATCACCTATAAAGTTATATAATTATACAGTATATGTTCCTTTTTCTCCACTTCGATTCAGTTTCTAATAATTCAGTGTTTTGTTTCTCTTGCTGCAGCGGTGTAATTTCCCAGCGGGGATCATTACAGCTCCCTACTATCTTTTCTTATCTCACATTTGTTCTTTTTTGAAAAGCAGCATGTGTCAGGTTTGGTTGCATTTTCATGGAACTGCACATAAAAATGAGTGTTCGAATCAGAATAGGGACAGCATTCGCTCTGTGAGTTGTTGAAACATTCTCAACAATGTTTACAAGAATACATGAATGGAACAAATACCTTTTTCTGACAAAACCGCTAAATATAGTAGACATGTTCTTGTGTAAAAGTTGGCACACTGATAAACAAGAACAAAACTTCTTCTTTGTGGGTTTTTTTCTGGCAGTGCAGCAGCTTTTGTGCTGCTTCCATTACACAGGAAACACATTCATTCATCAAAGTGACACAACTTCGTAGAAGCAGTAACATTTAATGATATGTATGAGTTACAAAAACTTTACCATCACTTGTTTGATTGGTATTACTTTTCCCCAAATATTGCTTAAAATGAGCTCTCTACATCTTCCTTTGGGTCATACCTCAGTTTTAGGGACTTGGCTTTGGAACCGCCTCGTCACCAGTTCAATTCCAAGTATGGACCAAAACAAAAGAAACATGATGTGATTGGTAGCTGGAGTATTGCAAGCCTATTGTGAATAGGTCTTGTCTGCTTGTGTGTGTTTGTACTGTATATACGACTGAATGAAAACAGAGTTTCCTGTCTTTTTCCTCTACTACTTCTTCTTCTCCGTTTAGAACTCATGCACTGACCAATCTGTTTATGTGTGTTTTTCAGGAACGACAGAGCGGGTGTGTCTGATCCAGGGCACGGTGGAGGCGCTGAACGGAGTCCATGACTTCATCGCTGAGAAGGTGAGGGAGATGCCTCAGAGCACCCAGAAGACAGAGCCGGTCAGCATCCTGCAGCCACAGACCACCGTCAACCCCGACCGCGTCAAACAGGTTAGTCTGACCCTCTATGCCTCTTTATTCATACAGAGAAATAACCCTGCAAACGTGTGTGTTGAGGTAGAAGAAGTACTCAGATCTTGTACTTCAGTAAACATAAAACTAGCAGAGTGTAGGAAAGATCTGTTACAAGTAAAAGTCTTACGATCAAAATGTTACAAAAGTACAAAGGTATTAGCATCAAAATATAATTTAAGTACTCATTATGCCGATCTACCCATTCCAGAATAATACATTTTATATTTAGATTATAATTATTGATGCATTAAAGTGTTATCAAAGCTGGTAAAGGTGAAATTTAACTAGCAAAACATTGAAATACTCAAGTAAAGTACAAGTCTTTCAAAATTGTACTTAAGTACAGTATTTGAGTAAATCTACTTAGTTACTTTACACCACTGCGTGTGTGTTTGTGTGTGCCTGGACATGCCACAGCTGAAGGCGTGTGTGAGAGGGAGGAGAGCGTTTGCTTTGAAACGACAAACTGTGTGTTTCTGTGGTCGAGTTGTGATTTTCTGTTTGAGTGAAGCTGAATGAGGCAGAAAATAGAAAAATGACATGCGACCATGCAGACATGTAAACACATGAGGGAGGGAGGGAAACAGAGAGGGGAGAGAAATAAAGGGGGAGACAGAAAGACATGGTGATTGAGAAGATAAGACAGGGAAGGAGGAGGGGAGAAAGAAGAAAGAGAGAAAATGGGAAAGATAGAGGGAAGAAAAATCAGCTGTCGGGTCAGGAGAGAGATGACATCCACTCAGACAGGAAACTGTGTGAGGTGTGAAGATGTAATCTCACCATGACACACACACTGCTGCTGCACGCACACACACATATGTACAGAGAGACCTAAACATCCACACGCTAACTGGAAACACTCCTGCTGAGAGAGGAAGTGTGTGTCCAGATCGCTCTGTCATACATGATAAATGTCAAAGATGTCTGCCAAAAAGTCTGTTTCTGATTGTACCGGTGACGCACAACTGTAAAAAGTTCTAACCTGGAAATGGCTTCAATTTGTCTAAAATATTTCTGCAGGGTGATTTAATTTAACATGAGATAGTTTGTCCAGATTTTCACGTCATTTCGAGTTAGGTGGACAATCAGAAAATAATACTCAGAATACTAGCTGAGAACCTTTCAGCTGTTTCCAAAACAAACTTTAAAGTGTTTTATTTTATTTTATTCAATAGTTCATTAAACTGCTGAGTGTAAAGCTAAGTACATCTCAGTGCCAACAGCAGCTCTGTAATATAGGACAATTAGTGTGGCCATTGATTATGATCCCAATCTGTGTAAGTGATTATCATCATTCTCTCTTCATGATTGCTCCATATTGATTTGTCAGGTCTGGCATTGTTTCCATCTATTGACTGTTCAGGCCTGCTTGACAGTGCATTCAACAAGGCCTGTGGGCGCACACACACACACACACACACACACACACACACACACACACACACACACACACACACACACACACACACACACACACACACACACACACATACTTCTCAGACACACATCCTTGTCTTTGTGGTATTGTGAGGATACCATACCAGAACATCTCTTGTGGGGCCCACATTTTCTGAAGCGGTTCTAACATGAGAGCCCCACAATTTGATAAAGACAAAAATACCCCCACACAGGCGTTTAAGTCCAACACTTTTAGGTTTAAACATATGGAAAAACAGTATAAATATAGTAATCACAAACCTAAAGTATTCATTAGATGGAAATGATGAATTGCTGACCTGTGCATATTTTTTTCCTCCTCTGAGCTTTGGTGTTGCATGAGTGTTGCATATGTTTTCCCCTGCTGCGATCTATCATCCTCTCTCATGAGCAGAATTTGGAGGTGGGGGGGGGGGGGCGAAGGAGGGCTACGCCATTCTATTTGTGAATAATTACAGTTATCAGACTTACACACATACACACACACACAGTCAGAGATAGTGTGTTTTTGCAGAGTTCACAATTATAAGGTGCAGTTATAACGAGAGTTTAATGCATAATTAATCAATACTTATGAGGGGCCGTGTACAGGCCGTAATTCATACTGGTCCTCTCACACACATACATTCTCCTTTTACATTCATACATTTTCACTCTCATATACATATATATTTACACTCACACATTCATACATTTTGCTCTCATATTATCATATTTCAATGTACACATTCATACATTCTCCTTTTACATACATATATGTTCACTCTTACACACATACATTCTCCTTTTACATTCATACATTGTCACTCACATATTTATACATTTTTCACTCACACATTTATACATTTTGCTCTTGTGCACATTCATTCAATGTTTACATTTAATATTATAAATAATATATGCATGTCTGAAGACAATATATGTATGCAAGAGAAGAATGCATGTATGTGTGAGAGAAAGTATAGTGGAAACGGAAAGAGTATAGTTGAAACGGAAGGCAGGTCATCATCGCGCTGTGATTGGCTCAGAAGGTCGAGCGGGGCGGGCTCATGTTCAGAACTTCTGATTCAAATCAACATGATGGAGGGAGATGAATCCCTGTATCTTCGGACTATTTGTTTTTCTTTATTAAACAAGTAAACGGAAGAGCGTCTGAGAGGCGTTTTTGCTTTTAGTTTTTGACCTTACTAAATGGTCTAATGGTAATATAATGGTATCTATAATCAAGGGGAAACGAGGTGAATTTAGCGATCACAACGAAAACGGCCAAGACACACATTGTGCCCAGAAAATGAATGTTATTAAGGGCTGTAAATATAATAAGCCTATGTCTAAAATGTACAACATTGTTAGGAGATGTAAACTATACAGCGATTCTGCACTGCGGTCACCTCAGCCGTCTCTCACGTTTGTTTTTTCAAATCAGCAGCTCTTCATTTTTTTTTCTGCTATATTTGACGAGTGATACAAATATTTGTTACCACACACACACTGACAGACATACATCAAACATCCAGCCCACACACACTCTGCAGAGTTGAACTCCAACAGGCTGTTTACGGCTAATGTCAGTATTACAATTGTGTTTGCACACATGGTATGTTGTCTTCTTCATACTGTATGTGTCTGCAAAGTCTTCTCCTAATTTAATATTTAAATATAAATCTTGTCAGTTATACAATAAGGCAGAAAGTAAGTGCACATCTTAATATAACCTGTGTGGAGAATTGTTTATTATCTCATGCCTTAGAGGGCTGATCACTGGTGTTCCTCCAGGCTTGTAGCCAGCATTGCAGGACATCCCTTTAAGTGTTGGATGTTTGAGGCCACTGTGCAGGTCAGGCCAGTTATTCCACACTAAATATAGGTTGTAGTTGCCAGGCAACCAGTGGAGAGCCCAGGAGGTGTAGTACTGTTGGGACACAATAGGCAAAAACATTTTGCACATTACATTTGATTTTGGTTAACTTATTCAATAGCACGTATTCAACAAGTGAAAAGAAAACACACAACAATACAAATGTAGGTGTTCATTTAACTTACTTTGTCTATTTTTGTCTGTAGATTTCTCCCAAATTCACCAATAACATTAAATAATGCCTTGTGTACTCCTATCAAGGCTATTTATTCATATAATAAAAATGATAACCAACTTAATGTATTTATCCCAGGGGAAATTTGGTTGTGTGACAATTGCTTGGATTTTGAATTATATAAATAAAAGATAAATAATAATAATAATAATAATAATAATAGAATAATTAATATTTACCCCATATTCACCAAGTGTGTCTCCCCTAACAGAACAGAACGCACCAGTTTCATCATGTGTGATTATTTGGTTTGTGTCTTTGACCCTGAGTGACGGACGGTTTAGTGGAGCTGTGTGAGGAGCAGCCGCGAGGAGACGAGCGACTAATAGTCTGATATTCAGACTCTTATAATGGAGGGCCGATCCCCCTGCTGCTCTTTAGACTATTTATACTGCATCGGAGAGGCGACTAAATGGATTTGTGATGCATTTGACAACACACAGATACACACACATGTTCTCACACACACACACTCAGAAAGAAAACCCCCACACCAAAATAACCTCTTCAATCCACACTAGTAGACACACCGCTGCCCCCCCTTCTCCGAGCGGCATAGCATGATCAAACCCAAATTCCCTACATTTACAATTATACATTTTTTTATCAAATGATCCACAACTTTTTAAGGATGTGATATGTTTAGGTAAAGGCACAATGATAACGAGCTTCAATGTTATTTATTTTCACAAACTCAAAACGTAACTGGTTATATCTGAAATTTAAAAAAGTAAATTTTTCCTGATGGAACATATGTACAGACACTAATGTGTAGACCCTAAACTCAAATTGTATTAGCGCAACTTCAAAATATGGAAGGAATTAACTACAAAAGAACACTAAAAGTAACACTTTAACTGTGGCTAATTTCCAAATAAAACAGGTTAAAATCTGACATACTATCTTTGAAGTCACCACAAGTTTAATCAGTAGTACTATAATATATTATTTAATAATAATACAGGGATGAACAAACACAGTTACACACGCAAAACACACACACACACACAGACACACACACACACACACACACACACACACACACACACACACACACACACACACACACACACACACACACACACACACACACACACACTCAGTCACATTAAGGTCAGTAGGCTGTAAGCTGAGAAGTCTTTGTAGACGCTCACATAGTTTTGCAGCATGGCTCTCATTGTAGAAAGACACAACCACAAACTCACTGTGACCTGATGAATGGACCTCAAGAGAACACACACACCTGACACACATTGACATACACACCATTACACACATGTGTCCCCCTGAAAGATGAATTGGTGTCCACTGTCTGCTATTTCGGGTGGAGGGTATTCTTCTTCTTCTTCTTTCAAGAGTGCGGCTGTTGTAGCATGTGGCGTGTGACTAAGCCCTCAGTGGGCACAGAGAAAAAGAGGAGAGCATTTATACTGGGGCGCATGGGCC